GAAAATCCCATCTTTCCCTTGTGCTAGTTTTTTCTAGAGTCAGATTCTTGTCATAACATACCGCAGAGTTTTCAAGTAAGATTTTCGCCTTGTCGTGTGCCATGTTAGAGTATTTATTAAATCGTACGAAGACTGAGACATCATCTACGAGGCGCACACCGTGAATTAGAGTTAATTCTTCCCTAGGGACATCAGAAAATTGTACTCGTTGTACATACAAAGCATGGCTGCCAGTGCAGGGCTAGAAGCTTTACCCATCGGTACCCCTACCACTTGTTTGAGCAAGTGATCTCTAATTGATACATATGTGTCGGAAAGATCAAATGCGACGAAATCTTATATAAGCGAAAACGAAATACGTTTCCATCCTAGAATAGAAGTACTTTTTGACAGCCTAGCTCTTTGCCTTTACTTTTTACCCAGACCCCGTCATAGCCCTTGAGCTGAAAGAACAAAGAGAACCAGGCAATGACATCCCGGATAGAACAGTGGGGTAGTCTGCATAACATTTTTTTGCCATCGTAGCTAGCACTGAGTAGGAGATCTGTAGGGAGCAGAGATTGATTGAAGTTCTTGAGAGAGGGGATAAGATCTTTAGTACTGAACAGGTTGAAGTGGAGGTTTGGAGGCAACTGCTTAATTAAAGCATTTAGGCAGGATGTGATCTTTTTGCAAGCTGCTAACGAGGGTCCAGATGACGTTGGGCAAATTGGACGCCATCTCCTGATATCTTTATGTTTGGGGATGGCATATCCTCTACCGACACAGCCTTTAGCATTCCAGGTCCCGATGAATTCGAAGCCTTGCTCTCGATACTTAATTCGACATTCCTTGAGTACGATGTTTTCTAAGTCGTTTATAAGCTTAAAGCCTGGGTTGGAGATTAACAGACTATTCGGTCCTTTTTCGTAGATATGAGGGCAAAAAAGAAGCGTATCCGCTGGATTATGATCCAGCGGGACGAGTACTAATCCATCCGTGAGTTCCTTTATCTATTGTACACTTTCGGGAAAAAACGGTAATTTAGCGAGGTGGCTGAAGGGAGATGAAGAAGGAGAAGGAGAAGAGGAAGAAGAAGAAGAAGAAAAAGAAGAAAAAGAAGAAGAAGAAAAAGAAAAAGAAAAAGAAGAAAAAGAAAAAGAAGAAGAAAAAAAAGGAGAAGAAGAAGAAGAAGAAGAAGAAGAAGAAGAAGAAGAAGAGGGGGAAAGAGAAGAAGTAGTAGAAGAAGAAGAAGAAGGAGAAGGAGAAAAAGAAGGAGCAAAAAAAGGAGAAAAAGAAGGAGAAAGAGAAGGAGAAAAAGAAGGGGGAGGCGTTAAAGAAGGGAAGGACGGGAGCGAGGGGGGAGAAGAGGGAGATGACCGGGGGACTTTAGCGAAGGAGAGAGCAGGACTGGAGGCTGGGGGAAGGTTGTTAGGAGGTCGCTTGAAGCATGGCCGAAGTCGAGAGTTATGAATGTTGAAACTGTAGGGAGTTAGAGGCGGATTGGGGATAGTGTTGAGGGTTGCAAGGATCTGAGTCCGGAGAAAGCCTAGGGAATATGATCGTGAGGGTGGGATTATATTCCGTGTGTTGCTAAGCCAATGTGGGAAGATCTGGGTATCCTTAACTATGAGACATATGTGGCCATTTTCTCTAGGAAGGGAGATAGGAGAAAAAGGTTGAGGAGAGGGGAGATCAGGGGTGTGCGATTGTGGCAACAGAGATTCGAATTTTCTATCAACTGAGTCACAGCAGCAGGTTAGTTGATCCATCCTGGCGAACTGCCGAAAATTGTGTAGGGATTACGCGAGACTGGAGTTCTTAGTCCATACAACTCGAATTCTTCTGGCCATCAGACTTGCCAACGATACTAGAGTGATGACTTCACGGACCAACTGTACACATAACGACCTCACTCTTGCTTTAGAGATCAAATCAGAGAATCTTAATTTCAAGACCAATCTCCTCCTGGGGCATAAGTTAAAGCGTCGGCGGATGACGTTTGTCAACACGGTGTGCAAAGTCTGCCTGGAAGATTTTTTTGATATACATCTAATAGCTCCATAGGCATAAATGAGATTGTCTAATGGCCACTTGTAGAGAGATTTGCGCTGATACGGGTGGCTGAGTAAACGCACCACTGGCTCTTTGAGACCTTCCGACCGAGAGCAGAATTTCACGATAGCAGCGACCCGGAACATATGGCCGCCTGTTACCCAATCCTTACAATTCTTTGGTTGGTCCCGCCCAAATTTACTAACAACAATAGATGCACCGAATACTTGTTTGATTACTTTCCAAGAATCAGCGAGAAACGAGCCCCCCTGATTGATAACTGAACACGAGGAAATATGCAGACAAGCACATTCATTAAGCATATTCATCAGGGACACCGAGTTAACACCAATCGAGGAAACATAATAAGTGAGACGACTCCTGACATAGTGAGGACGGTCGGAGACAGGTCGGTTCTGAATACTATCTTCTTGGGACGCTTTCAGAGCTTTCCTTGCCCTTTCCCGCTTTCCTGGTATATTTTTTCTATTTTTCTTCTTTGGTGAGGCAGCCTGTCTAGAATTAAGGTAGGGGGACGTTCTCCTGATGATGCATTTTTCTGCCGACAGTAAATCGCCGGAGTCCTAAACTACAAGAGGGATTGCAACATAATGGAAGAGTCTTACTCTTCTAAACCATCTGTATAATTTGTGGCTCCGGACAGGATTCGAAACAGAAGGAGACAGCTGATGTTCCGTTCTACCCACATGTTCAGCCCATCGGTCACAGATAGTTTTAGAGGTACAACCTACATAACTGTGCTTAGTGAGAGGTGAAAACAAGCGATAAACAACAGGGCCACGAGCTGTCAGGAAATCATAACCGTTTTCAATGAGATACCGTAATTGATCTTGAAACTTTAAACCCCACGGGATCTGTCCTAAGAAAATCAGCCCAATAATGACCATCCCAACCAGGTAGTTAAGATATACGTCGAGGACACCATCTTTGGTCTTACGAAGTGAGAAGCAAGACAACAGAAGTTCCCATAGCGAGTCAGCGCTTGGGCCGCACCCCCTACTCATCTGCCAAGTGCTCCTCATCATCGATGTCAACAGGCTGCGTGACCTGTCCATCATCTTGTGCATCTTCCTTAGCTTCGTCCGCCTCGGATTCAGGAGCCGATCTTCCAACCTTGAAAGCTTCGGGACGGAAATCGAAGGCGAGCGCTGCCCTGTGCTTGGCAAAATCGTTGATTGCCTGCTTGCAAGTGGTGAAGGAGATGCCCTTTCTACCGCACAAGATCTGGAGTCCGTTCTTCTTCAGGCGTTTGAGGTGCTTCTTCGTTTCCTTGATGAAGTCAGCCCGTTCAGTGGTTGTTGCCTTGGAAGCCAATCTCCCGGAAGTTCTCTTCGGTGGAGATGGCCGCACGATGATATCATCGAGCGCATCATCCTGCTCGCCTAGGTTCTCCGGTTTGTCTCCATCCGACGCATCGTTGATTCGCTTGGAGAGGTTGGACCTAGGTGTTCGTCCCTGTCTGACAAGCTTCCCGATGGCACGTTCGAAGCGGTCCTTTGACATTTGGACCTCCATGTCGGCCGCTCTCTTACCTTCTTTGATTGAGTTGTATGCCCTGAGCAGTTTTTGGAAGTCCTCAGAAGTGGGAGTGCCCACCCCCATCACGCGCGGTCTGCCTCGAGCTGGTGCTTCAGGGGGACTGGTGATGCAGACCCCTGCTCCTGTTCTCTTCGTACCGGCGGCAGTCTGTTTGATCGTACG